CCTGACTGCGGCACCGGGGGCTGAGGTGGGCACCGGGCACCGACCGCAGCTCCCCCCGCCCGGACCCCCGTCCGGCCCCGGCACCGATCCCGGGGAGCGGCGCGATGGGCGGGGAGGACGAGATCGTGCGCATTGCCAGGCGCCTGGACAAGATGGTGGCCAAGAAGAACGCGGTGAGTGGCGACGGCAGGGCCCCCGGAGCCCGGTTGGGATGGGGGCCGCCCACTGCCCCGGCCTCTTGTCTGGCGGACGAGCCCCCCCTCTTTCCGCAGGATCCTCTCCTCGCTGCAGCGCTGGTGGACCCCCACCTCTCCCTCGGTGCTCGTTGTGAGGGGCCTCCCCCTCCCCAGACCGCATTTTGGGGGCCTCTCGTTCAGCGCCGCCCCGGTCATTACATCGTGCTGGATGGAGCAGAGGCTCCCCCCATTAAAATGGGGTTCCCACTCCCAGGCCCCTTCCTTCTCTCCCTTCCCCATCCTTGGCTGAGGTGTGGGATCCACCCACCGCCAGTCAGTGGGCGGGCAGCCCTAGGTGCCCCCGTGGGTGCTGTGGGAGCCTCCAATCCCCATAGTGAGCCCCCCACCCCAGGCCTCAGGCGTCCCCAGCGCACATCTCAGCACTCCGGGGCTCACCCTGTGCTGTCTGCCTAGAGAGCATCCTCAGCTCCTCTCCTCTGTCCCCTTGGGAGCCTTTTGGATGGGGAGTCCCCACCAGCACCGCTCTGGGGCTTCAGTTTGTCCTCGGGGAAAACCCCGGTGCTGATGGATTTGCTTCCTGCATTCTCCATCCCCCAGCGGCACTAATTCTCATTCCCGTGGCCTCTGGAGTGTGGAGGGCTGGCCAAGCTTCTGTCTGCACTCGGGGAGTCTCGCAGGGTGTGCTGTGACCCGTGTGACAGCCTGGGGGGACAGGAGCCGGTATTTTCCAGCTTAATGGGATATATCAGTGCTTGTAGGAACACAGTGCTAAGGCAGAAAGCTGACCAGGGTTTGTGACGGAGGTAGGCTGTACATCTGTGTTTGGGGTGGGGGAGAGGGATTTGGGGCTGGGAAGGGTGTGGGGAGTGGGAGATGATGGGCGAGGAGGGGAGGGATTAGAGGAGTGTGATAGTTGTGTGGTGGGATGCTGGGTGCTATTATCAAATGAACTTTTGAATGTTGGACTGGCCCTGCCAACCGTGGGTAGGGCAAGCACTGTCACTTGTGTCGCTGTTGGAACAACCCAGGGAAGTGTGTTTGGGCTAAAGCCCAATGTCTTTTCTTGCTGGTGGCAGGTTTTCAGCATCAGTGTTGAAATAGGAAAGGAGCAACTTCGCAGAATTTGCTTCCAGCTTTATTGGGAAAGAGGCAGCTTCTTACAGGAGGGGGTGCAACATTTCCTCTTGGCTGGCGTTTTGAGATAGTGCTGAACTGCAGCGTGTTGTGTGTTGGCTAATCTTAGAACTCTTCCTGCAGGACAGTTTCCTGGAGTACCTGTTTGTTGTTCTAGTTTTTTTCATGGATCCTCATTTGCTGCCATTGTGCCGAGTGGCTCCATTTGGAGTCAGGAGCCACCGGGTCACTTTGGGTGTCCAGGGCTGGAGGAACGGGAAGGTGTGAAACTGCCTGAGGGGGAAGTCAGTCGTTCTGGGTACGGTAAATGTGTGTGGTTTATGCTGGTGTGAGTTGCTTGTGTGCACGCTGAAAGCTTTGACTCTGCTTCGATTTTGGCATCTGTTCTGTAGGGTGGATTGCAGCTGGATTGCTTCCTGGGATGTGTTGGAAGCAGCCCTTCTGCATAGGGAGGACGGGATGTGAGGACAGGGCTGGCAGTGCAGGCGGCTTCGCTTCCCTACAATGGTGGCTGTGCAGGCCTTGTGCTGCAACTGGGCTTGGAGTGGTCGGTGTTGTAAATGAGCTGCTAAATGTGAACACTGGAAGCCTTGTTTGAGGGAAGGGGGTTGGGAGGAAAGAGCCAGCTGAACGGAGACAGGCCTACGCCAGGCTGGGATGTGCTAGAGGGAGACAAATGATTTCCAGTTCTCTGAGGGACTGCCAGTTTTAGGTATCTACAGATTCCTAGTCAGATTTTTCCTGGTCCTGGGTTGTGGGATGTAGAGATGATGTAAGGAGACTTCACAGAACAAGTTTCAAATGACCAACTCTTCAGCATCACAGCTTGCTGGCTTTGCTCCTGGTCTCAGCTTTTGTCCTGAGCAGAGTGGGGTATTAATAAGAAAACTAGTAAACAGCTGCATAGAGTCACTGACAGTTGTAATTCAGAGTGTGTTTTTCAGGTGTTAGAAATGTTCAGTGTGCCAGGTAAGGATAATAAACTAATGCTGCGCTTGCACCATACACAAGCAAGGACCTCTAGCACTCCAGTGATCTTCTGTTTTGACCATTCCAATAATTCAGGTTGCAGGATCTACTGTCTGGAACAGCAACCCCAGCAGTGAGCTTACTGATGTTTCAGGGAATGCTTGTTGGTGTTTTGCCCTTTGAATTTAACTTTCTGTGTCTATTCACAAGATGTTGAATTTCTTTAATAAAAGCTGAGGTACTCTTTCTCTTTTCCTCTCCAGGAAGGTGCAATGGATTTACTGAAAGAACTGAAAAGTATGCCTATGACTTTGGATTTACTGCAGGTGAGTTGCACAGTTACGGAAAAAAAAGCTGAAGTTTGCATCTGGATGAGTTAAAAATGTCTAAATAAACGTAATAGATTTCCTCACACTTCTCATCTCATGCAAAGAATCAAAATAAACATTAAATCCAATAAAATAGTGCAGAAGTTGGGTTTTGGACTGTCAGTTAAAGAACTCTGGGTCACCATGTGTATAACTGCTCAGATCTTGTTTGTAGGCTGCAAAAAGAGGAAAGACTGGGTTAAAGTAGCAAACACAGAGGGCAGTCTTGGAAGAAGTTCTTTGTAATGTTGATATTTAGGACATTGGGGAGGAGTGAGCAGAATTACAATTTGGATGCTGTGATGCATATTGGAGTTTTTCACTCTAAGCTTGAATGTCACAAGTGTGTAGGGAAGGGATTTGTGGGAGATTGGATGTGTCTTCTGTTCAGTTGTGCAAGCTGGAGAGTGTCACTTCGCTCTTCCAAAGTTGTAAGGGTCATAGAATCATTCTGCAAGCCTTTGGATACTCCTATCTTGGTCATGGCTTTGACTTTGTTGTGGTTATTTGAGATTTCAGTAAGTAACTAATAATGAAACTGTTCTGGAGTGATTCACTGGGGTGTTCCTTGCAGTCCACCCGCATTGGGATGTCAGTGAACGCACTGAGGAAGCAGAGCACAGATGAAGAGGTGATATCACTTGCCAAATCCCTCATCAAATCTTGGAAGAAACTTCTAGGTAAGGAAATCAGCATGTTCCTGTCAGATTCAGCTTGTGAACAAGCTGCCTTCAGTGGGAGGCTGAGTTTTTTGGGAGAGCTTCTCTCTTCATCTGAATAAACATTCTAGCAAATCAGCCTTTTCAATTCCACCCTCTCTGTCTTTCGAGTTTTGTGTCCTATCATGCATCCCCCTAGATTTAGCTCCTGTGTAGCCAGCTCATCATTGGAAAAGCATTGAAAGCTTCAGGACTTGTAACTAATAACTCCTCACATAATAATTAGCACCGTTCTTTGTAGAAACAATATCTGTGCTCTGAACCCTCTGCCCCCACTTGTGCTCTGTGTGGCATTTACACCATGTGTGCTGTCAGCCTTGTGCAACAGCTTAGGAAGGGAAGTGCTGGAATGGATTTTGGGTGGTGAGCTGGAGAAGGATCTTAGCTCACCATCTCATAGATAAACTCACATGGACCATTTCCAGCTGGGGAGACTTTCCCAGTTTTGGGCTCCCATTTCTTGCTAGGCTGAATGAGTGTTAAAAGGGTTCTTTTCCTGTCATGCCTGGATTGTTACCTCCTCATTAGATTGGGTGTGTATTTGCTAGTCTCGGACAATTTACTTCTGGGTCAAACTTGTTCTACAGTGTCATGAAAGACCTCTCCAGGGTTGTGCTGTTGGCTTTCAGCAGCACTTGGGAATCAGAAGACGCTATTCTCCCACAAGGACCAGCCTGTACTGGCCCTTCAGCTGGTGTTGGCTGGAAATTCTGCTTTTAATGGTGCTTGAGAGAACTTGATCTAATCCCTGCTCAGCAGCCTCTGAAAGAAACTTTTGTGAAGAGGCATGTCTTGTGAGGAAGCTTATCTCCCAGGCAGGGAAACTGATTGCTCTCTAGTTTGGTGAGAAAAGCTTTTGTTTGAATTAGTTTCTACTTGGAGGCAAGGAAAAGGTCTGTTGGAAAGCAGGAAGGCCATAAAGACATTTTCTCCTGATTCTTTTTGGGAGAATAGTAACTTGCTTTAGGCCAACAGTGGGTAGTGTGAAAACATTGAGGAGTATAGGCAGGGCTGTAGCACAAAGACCAGTTCTGAACTGATTTCTCTTTTGAATATAGATGCTTCTGAAGAAAAAAATGAGGAGAAAAAGAAAAGCCTGTCTTTGCCAACATCTTCCTCCAGGGAGACTGGTAACTCAAAAGACCAAAGGTAATACTTCCCTTTTACCAAAGATGACACTGTTGGAGAATTTAAATTTTCTTAAGGCACTTTAGTTTTTATTTTTAAGTGTCTGAGTCAGGAATTTTGTGTAGAATTTACCAAATTTCTGGTGAGAGACACGGAAAGTGTTTCTTCTTCAAGGTTCATCTGTGTAGTGTTATTAACTGTAATGCAGAAATACACATCTTAAAATACAGTGGCTTTAGTGAGTTTTTAAATTTTATTAGTATTTTATTTAATGTTTTTTACTCTTCATTATGTATTGTTTTTTCTAATAGTAGAACATTCCCCTATTCTCTTTCATATTGCATTTTTATGCATTTTTGTTTATTTCTAACTTTGCATTCCTTAGAATGAAGATTATTTTTGGCCTTTGCAGTGTCAAGTGATGGATGGGATTGATTGATACATTACTAAAGTAAAAGTTGCATTTCTTTGTCCTTGACAAATCCCAGCAGAGGTCCCCTTTTCCCTATGGCTGGTGTCTCCCAGCTGGCAGGTCAGCTGCATGCTTGCTCCTTGCCATGCCTTGAATGCTGCATCCTGTTTTCCACTGCCTGTGACTGCAGTTGTTGAGTGCAGGCAGTGATCAAAGAGGAGGGGAAAAATGGGATTTAAAGCTTTGTTCTAGAAATTTCTCCCAGCCTCAGATCCCAGGAGGGTGTGTACTTCCTAGATTTGGCTCTTAAGTGATTTAGCCAATTTCCCAAGTTTGACAGAAGATTTAGAATGTTCAGGCTGTAGTCCTGCTAGCTCGCAGGATTTTCCATGTTTGCAGCCTTTGTTGGTCGCTTTCTTGTCACTACTTTGTTTTTGCTCAGCTCTCTCAAGGCTTGACATTTCAGGGTGAGCCTTTGCAGCTCGATACAGAGCTGCTGATGGAGAGAAGGCTGATGCTGAGCTCCATGACTTTAAATTATTGGTATCTTGGGTTATCTTGCTTCCATAAAATGGGAAAAAGGATTTGCTAAGTATTGCAATGAGGGGACTTGGGAGACTTCACAGCCAGGATGGAGTTCAGTGATGCCATGCAGAATGGAAGCCAGGGCTGTCCAGATCTGTGTGGGATTTCACTTGGAGCAGGATCTTGGCTGTAGGCACAGAGGCAAAACACCTCCTTGCTGCCTCCTTGCTTTGTCTCTTATCATGGGGTGTGTGGAGTGGAGCTGTCTGGCTTGTGCTGCTGATGTTCCCATGTGCCCTAATGTGCTGCAGATACTGCAGTTTGATGGGGTTTTTTAATCCTTGATGCTTTTTACATGTATTCAGCCTCCATCTTCTGACTAGCAAAGCGTCTCCTTGGCTATGAAGGATGAACAGAAGCCAATGGATTAGTGTAGGCTAGACCAGGAGCAGGGGCCAGCTCCTGGTGTCAATCTGTTGAACCAGGCTCTCTTCCAGAGACAGGAATGTTTTTTCTCCAGTCCTGCAAAATAAACTACTAATCTGCCTTAGAAAATAATAATTCATTGGCAGAGGGGAGTCTCTGTTCTTTGAAGCAGAGACTGCAGTGGAGTCAGACTGGTTGCTCAGTGTGTGATAGCTGGTTCAGATGAGGCTGCTGTCAAGACACCAAAGAGATCAGTTTGTATTCAGATATTTCAGCCTCTTAGTCTGTGAGATTTTGGCTATGCCTTCCATTTTGGTCAGGGAAAAATATTTGACTAACTTTTAGCCTGAAACTCATCTTGCTTTCTGGAGCACAGATGTAGAAATCCCTGTGTAGTGAGTGGAGCTATCACTGCAAGACCTGAAGGCTCTGAGCCAGCCAGCATGTAGCTGGCACCTGTGAATTTAGGTGCTGCATTACTCTAATCCAAAGCATATTCTGTTGTGCTGTAGAGTTTCAGATCCATAGTGTAGTACATTTTAATGGGCTGTGTCTAATGTTTCTGTCTCTGGCAGCATGAGGTTTTTCTTTTCCAGGATTCTCTAAACTGCCTTTATTAGGAGGTTTTGGATCTGTGGCCTGAATTTAGCTCTTCTGTGGGATTTTCTTCCAGTGCAGTCCTGAGTTCTGCTTGCAGTCCCTGGCTGCTGCTTTGCCACCATTTTGTTCCAGCATAGCTTTGTTTTATGTATAAACTTTTGCTGCCTGGATAGATTTACAAGCTCTTTCTCCTGCTTAACAGGAACAGTGTAAACCACAAGGATTTCCTGAAATAAGTCTTCTAGGTGTATTTGAGCTCTATTTCCCAACTATTCTATTTATAAACTAACCTCTAAACCTTAATAAATAATTTTCTGTCTTTGGAATGGCTGAGAAGTCTGTTTCATGTAATTCTTGAGGGATCAGCTCTCATCTCAGTGCATGGATAATGTGTGTATGTGCAGGCAAATGTGTCTTTCCTCATCAGCTAACAGAAGTGGGACTACCATGCATCTTGTTGAACTTTTTTCCACCCCCAAGGAATAAACATCTAAATATTCAAGTCAATAGCATTTGCAGATAGAACCTTTCGGAAAATCAGCTATTACTTCTGCAATTACAGGTTTGAAGTTCTGTGTTGGAGGGTTCATTGTAGAGGAGGTCAGTGTTCTGAGTTCACATTGAGGTACAGGGTTTTGCCCTGGGAAACCTTTGTTTGTTGCTTGCAAAATGATACAAAATTTAAATCTGTAAGAACTCTCAGGGAAACTTCTCCTGCAGCCCCTTCTCAGCACAGCACAACCTCTGCCCAAGCTGTCCCTGACAGGCTTTTTTCTAGCTCTTTGACAACCCTAGAAAATCTCAGGGCAAGGCATTTCCATAGCTGCCCTTGGCAGTATTTCCAATTCATAAGTCACCTTTGCAGTTCAAAACTTACTCTCTATCAAAACCTTTCATACTAAACCCATTTCAACACCATTCTGTGGATTTTTTCTTACCATCTGCCTTTGTAAGGAATTTCAGGACTTGTCTCCTTTAAGTTTCCCTTGCCACAAACCACCCATATTCTTTTGGTCCTTCCTTTTACTGTAAGTATGTTTTGCCTTTGTCCTTTGGGAAGTCTAATTTTTCCAAACTATTTTATGTAATGTGAGAAGCTGTGATTTTTTTGATGGGTTATTCCTGAATTATGGGTTATTCCTTAGTGTATGCTCTGGTATATACACCCCCATGAGTGCTGCCTGTGATTTGTGTGTAGCTTCTTAAGCACAAAAGTACCTGATGGCAGTTTCTACATTCCAGATGGGAGAAAATCATCATCTAATGGATTATTTACAGGCTAAGTTGTTTCTTCTTTTTGTAACATGTGCAGTGTAAATCCTATTGAATGTTTTGAGCTGTTTGGACACAAATCTGTTCTTTAATAAGCTCCTGCAGTGCCGACCAGTAAAACCAGCTGGTAAAAAGGGGTTTTATTCAGCTACTGGTCAAAGAGAAACACACAGTGAGTTTACACTACAATCTGCCTCACAGAGTGCATCATCTCCTTCATATGAGCAAGAAATCAAAGTTCTGCTTTGGTTTGACCTGAACGATTTGCTGAAGGTTCACTGGTGGATGCTTCTGAAAAGGGCTTGGCGAGGTTCTGAACTGCGGAAATCCAGTAGCCCCAGTGGTGATTTGTGGGATTTGAGCCAGACTGGATATGACCTTAGTCACAGGAGCTCCCAGGATAAGTCCCTAAAGTCGTCTGGCTCAGTTTGTGTGGCAGCAGATTCGGAAGATTTCTAGCTTAGTGCTGTTTTTTTGTGGGCTGACTAATCCCTTCCAGGACAGTGTAGTGGAAGTGCTTGTTCATAACAAATTTATTTTTGATGGTAAAAAACTGGCAGTAGTGACTCAGCTTAACAAAAATTGTCAAGCCACTTGGATCTTCAAGAGGATATTGCCAGCATGGCATGGGTGAAATATTGAGGTTTCTTTTTTCCCTTTCTGTCTCTTTGTGCAATAATGATACCAGGCATTGGCCATAAATACAGGGAATTTTACAGCCAAATCACCAAAGCCAGAGCAATCTCTGCTGAAAAAAAAATTGCTGTTCTGCTGCCTAGATTTAGGGGGGTGAACAAAGCTCTAGAAAATCATCTGTGAATCATACTAACCCAGATCTTTTACCAGCAGTATTTGCAGGGCTGACTAACACCATGTGCAGATGTTACGCTTTCTGGGTGCACAACCAGCTGAGCTGCTCATTGAAGTTCCATCTCTGCATGCAGACCCCGCAGGAGTGACTCACCCTGCCCACATCATGTGCTGATTGTACAGGCAGGTCTCCATCCAGCTCCCCTGGCAGGTGACCCGACTGAGTCAGCCACAGCAGGCAGGTGTTTGCATTCCCTTGCCTGTGCCCATGAGTGCTCACAGGTGGAAATGCAGTTATTTTTGAGAGTGAAGCAGTATTTCTGTCCTGTGCTAGCCTAGCACCTGTATGAGCTTGCGTGGCTGTGTAGGGGTGCTCTTCTGTGAGATGAGTAATCAGTGTCTTGCTCAGATTACAGGAAAAAGGAAGAACCTTTTATGTTCTTTGTTGGTGGTGTTTTTTAAATATCAAAGCTGAAGGAACCATTTATTTCTTCTTCTTTATTTTCCTTAGCACAGCTCCTTTTTCTGGAGCTTTCTGCTTGCTTTCTGCCGAGAGCAGTTATGGGCCTGGTGTCCTGCAAAGTTAAAGAGGAAAGAAGTACCATGAATCTGCACTGCACTGCCAAACTGAAAGAGTGCTGATGGTCTCAGATGTCCTGAGTGTATTTGGGTTACTGGTGGTGTCCAACAGTAATGTTTTCACTTGATGCCCGGTGGTGCAGCAGCTGATACGTGTTGAACAACACAAGATGGTTGGCAGGGTTGTTCATGGATTAAGCCTCTGCTGGCAGCCAGAAGTGTCCACAGGAGAGTTCATGTCTGGGCTGAGGGCGTTGGCTGCCGTGTTGTGCTCTGTGCTGATTTGGGACAGTGACTTCGCACTGTGTTCTGACTGGTTCTGTATTGTGATTAACAGGATGCTTGGCCACATACCTGCTGCTCCCTTCTCTGCTCTCAGTGGCCCAAACTGAGACATTCTGACAGGTGAAGTTTTTCTTTTAGCTCCAACAAAAGGCAGGAGCCTCCAAAGACTCCGACTACCCCTAAAATCACCACCTTCCCTCCGGCCCCCATCACCTGCGACGCTGTGCGCAACAAATGCAGGGAGATGCTGACAGCAGCTCTTCAGGCTGATGGTAAGTGCTGGTGGAAGCCCTGCATTGCCTCAAGTGCTTCACAGCTTCTGGACCATTCTGACAGAGACTGTCATTGCCAGCTCAGCTTAGACACACTGTTCTGGAGCAGCCTTGTCAAAGGGTAACTGCCAGCAACTCAGTCTAGCCACTGGTTACCCCTTTGATGAACTGGCTGCTGTTGCAGCATTTTCAGACACACAGGGACCTTGCTTGAGCTGGAGGCATGACAATGTGTCAAGCAATGCCTGTTAGGAGCATGGGGTTTGTCACACAGGGTTAGTTGGGGTCTTCTGCTCTGCAGCATGGGGTGGTCTGTGCAGAAGTTTAATCTTTCAGGTGTGCAGGGATTTGCTTCACTTTCTAGATCTTTTCTGATTGCTGTAAAGTGAAGCTGTCTTCCTTGTCACGCTTGTGGCACCAAGTGAAGTTGTAACTCAATACAGGAATGGTGCTTATGCCAGTCAGCATCTGCTGTCAGACTCTGCTGTCTTTGCAGACAGAAGCTCCTTAAATATTGTGGTCCTCTGGATCTGGGATGGAACAGATCCTTTTGCATTCAGACTGTGCCATCTCAAGTGAGAGGCAACTGCAGGTGCTCAGCATGTCTGGAAGTTTGAACATCTGGTTGTGTCCACATTGAATATCCCTTTAAAAAACTGTGGTCTGTGCACTGCAAAGTCTTATTTATTTGGAGCCAAAGAATGTAGATGACAGATGGAGAAGTTCATGAGGTCTTTATTTCTAGCCTTCCTGTGCATGTGTTTATATGCTGCATTAAATGCTTTGCACAGTTCTTAGGAAAACCCTTTCCATATGAAATCTTGGAAAGAGTTCCCTTGAGCCCTTCCCCAAGCTCAGCTGTTCCTTACCTTCCCTGCTTTATGGTGTTGGTTATCATACTGGCTGTCAAAACCCACGGCAGTTATGCACTCTGTATGATGCTGTTTAACTGGTGTGTGGGAGAAGAGGGGAGGAGCAGACCTAAGGTGAGATGAGAAAGGAAGGCTTGATCCTGATGCTGCACACCTCCAGGCCCTCCCAGATGGTTGGTCTGAGTAGAGTTACTTCTCATTGAGGTGAATATCCGAGGAAACTCAATTCCTGCCTATATATGTTTGATTTCAATTATATGAAAAATATATTGGGAAACTAATTTCTTGGGCCAAGGCTGTTGTTAGCTTTGTCTCATGCAGTCTGTATCCTAGAGAGGCATAGGACACAGGCTGGCTAGATTAGTCTGTTTTCATCACTGCCCTTTTCCAAAGGGTCAGAGAGTAGAAAGAGCAAAGACCAAGATGCCATTTGATAGGAAGAGCATGTGAATCAAACCAGCAAACTGTTCAGATTTGTAGCTCAGAAATACTGAGCCTGGGGAGCCCTGGCTTGGTTGGAAGCTACTGAGCTCCGGTTTGTGCTGTCTTACAGACGACTACATCACCATCGGTGCCGACTGCGAGCACATAGCAGCCCAGATTGAAGAGTATATCCTTGCTGTACAGTGCTTCCTCGAGGGCCTGCATGCCTCCAGCAGTGAAATCCTTGTGCTCAAAGGAAAAACGAGACTGTCTGTGCATAAATGTTCTGCTGCAGCTTGTCAGCATTCTGGGTCTGGATCCAGCTCTGCTTGGCTGAGTCCTGGGTCACTGTGGAGTTGAGAGCTCAGAGACTGTAATCCCTAGTTTATCCTTCCCATCAGAGTGCTGTTTCCTGCTTTTGATTCTGCTTCCAAATACATGCAACTTCCCTGTGCTCCCTGTTGAGGAGAGTGTGCTGATCTAGACAAAAGCAATGGAAAGGATAGAGCAATGAGGATCAAATTTCATGTTGATGTGAGATAAGTCTTATGTGAGGTTTTTGCTTGGTTTGGGAACTGTGGGGTTGGAGGTGCAGCTGGGCTCTCTCAGCAGAGGGGTTTGTGGCTGCCTTGCTGAGAGAAAGGGGAGGTTGTAGAATCTGAGCATAGCTGAGTATTTCCAGCACAGTGAAAAAGGCCAAGCTGGAAGTCCCTGGACTTTGGGATTGTATAAACCTGCTCTCAAATCCAGCACTGACCTCCCAGAGCAGGTGCTGCTGTTGGGTCCCAGCACCCCCATCCTGGCAGTGGGGGACAGTCCCTGTTCTTCATGGTTGGCTGGGAAGTGCTCGATGGCTCTGGGTTGGTTGCAGGCTCCTTGACTGCCCTTACGCATCTACCAGGATGTCAAGAACACCGACATGAAATACAAAAACCGCGTGAGGAGCCGCATCTCCAACCTGAAGGACTCCAAAAATCCAGAGCTGAAAAAGAACGTGCTGTGTGGGGCCATCACCCCCGAGCAAATCGCGGTGATGACCTCGGAGGTGAGGGAGCCTGAGGACCAGGGTTTGCTTCTCACAGGGGATGTCTCCTGAGGCTTAGCTGGGCTGTTGCCAGCAGTTTTCTCAGTAGCTGCTGCCAGAGTGCGTGGAATGAGCTTGCAATGGGGTTTGCAGTGTGAAGAGTGGTTTGTTGGGCCTTCACATCATCCTGGGGCCCTGGGTATGAACCAGAAACCAGAATTGGAACAGGCTTTCTGTCGTAATGCCCATCTGTCAGGCTGCCTTGTCCTGTTGGCTGTTTCCATTGTAGTGGGTGTGGTGGTAAAACAGAGCAGATGTGATTTTACTGCTTTTTTTTTTAAAGGAAATGGCCAGTAATGAACTGAAAGAGATCAGGAAAGCCATGACAAAAGAAGCAATCCGGGAGCATCAGATGGCCAAGACAGGAGGGACACAGACTGACCTCTTCACCTGCGGGAAATGCAAGAAGAAGAACTGCACCTACACCCAGGTTGGTTTTTCTGCTCCTGTCTTGGCCTCTGCACAGGATGTGATCTGTCACGGTCATGAGCTTGCACTGCTCCATGACAGGCCCTGCAGCACAGCACAAATTTTGCTACTGGTGGACAGAAAACACTTGAGACTGTCTAAAATGTACTTCTGCACATGTTTCTGTGAGCTTGTGTAACTTTTTGGCTAACTTGTACAAAAGCAGGAGTTGTGTAGCACTGAGGAGGCTTTCAAAAATTCAGTAGTGGTCTACTCTGAAAGCAGGTGCTGGGAATGCTGGGATTCAGACAAGAAAGGAGTGGGTAGTGCAGAGGAGAGGCTGCAGAAAGTGAGTCAGACATTTTGATGGTATTAAAAATACAAATTAAGAATATAGATAACCTGCATCTGGATAAGTCCCAACTTACTTAAAATCGAACAGCATGAAATGGGTGAAACAAAAGGAAGAAATGAAGCTGTGATGTGAGCAGACGGAGGATTTTTCTTCCCCATGGCCAGCTGCTGGAAGCCTTGTGCATTACCAGTGCTTTTTAGCTCCCATATTCGTGCCAGGCATCTGGAGATAAATGTGCCTTTGCTGTGAGTCAGTGGTTTAGAATGTGCAGATACCCAAAAATGCACCAGCAGCCACCAGATTGCTGCTGAGTGACTGCGCACAAGCTGCGTGTGCAAGTGCCTGGTGAGACTCCTGCATCTGCTTGGACTTGACACACAAAGACATGGAAAGAGAAGGAGATCCAGGAATCTGACCAGGGAGTTTCCTTTGGCTCAGCAGCAGCCTTGCATCCCAAAGGCTGGCTCAGGCAAGAGGCCTTGCTCTGCCAGTGCTCCCAGTAAGCATTCCTGGGCTGTCCCAGCACATGGCACTGTCTCCACCTGTAGTGGACTGGAGTTTGACTGCCTGGAATCTGAGCAGGAGACAGCAGTGTCTAAACAGAGGTATTTGGAGGTTTTCTGTGTTTTGGTTTGTTTTCTAGTGAAATCACTAGTGGGGGTGAGATGTCTCAAGTAGATGAACTGGCATTTATGAGCATGTTGGAAGCAGACAGTAAAGGGGGAGAATTACAGAATTTAGCTATCCAGCATTCTTGCAAAAATGATTAATTTGCATCATGAAAATACCATGATTCTTGCACATTGGGTAATTACACATGGAGATCACCATAATTGCCCCTCGGCACAGTTCTGCCTGACTGGTGTGGGGAGAACCAGTGTTTTCAGTCTAGATTTGCCTTGTGGTATTTAAATGCCACGAAAATCTGGTTTTTAGTAAAGTATGTGTTTCTGGCAAGAGCCAGTCAGAGGCAGCAATCACATCTGGGTTAAATATCAGAGTTCCTTAATGGCTCAAACACAAACCAGACTGGAACTGTGCAGAACCTGGTAACCCAGAGTGTGCTCCTGTGAGGCCAGGATGTAGGACTGCTCTGTAAATGGAAATGGCTTGAGTGCTTTTTTATGCTCTTGTGCTTGGGACTGAGGGGTTTGTCATGGCCACATCCCTTCCTGGGGCACAGTCTGGGGGGGGATTGGCTGTGGGCATGTCTACTTCCAGAGTCACCTGCAAGAAATGGGCAGCATATTGGGTGAGAAGGGAAACGTGCCGTCCCAAAACTTGTCACTGAGGTAATGTCAGGCTGAAGGGGGTCAATGATGTGTGTATGTGTGTACTGCATGTACAACCACCAGACTTACTGTACTGGAAAGCTCCTTTTGCTGTCCCAAGCTCTCATTGATTTTGTGAGCCCAGCATGGGTCCCTGGAGGCTGGAGGGACAGGGCCATGTGTGATGCTCAGCTCTCACCTCCCTTCTGTCCCCTGCAGGTGCAGACCCGCAGCTCTGATGAGCCCATGACCACGTTCGTCGTGTGCAATGAGTGTGGGAATCGCTGGAAGGTAGTGTACCAGGGCTGTTACTGGCACTGAGGGGTGTTGGGGTGGCTGCACCCACCATGCTGCAGGCACTTGGCTGCTGCTCAGAGGCGCTTGCCAAACCCTCACTGGCTCTAGAGAGTGATCTTCCCCCCTCCCTGCCCAGCACAGAAGCAAATACTCCTGGGTTCATCCACAAAAACCCTAACTCGCAGACCAGTGGGGGTTAAGTCTCACTTCCACATTCCCACATTCCCTGCTCTCTCATATCCCTTTTTCCATAACCTGCTTTACAGTGTTTTCCATGCTGCCTCTGCCCTCCGAGGGATAGTGGTGATGAAGTTCAGGATTTCAAAACTGCTCTTCCATGCTGTGCACAGAGCTCAGGGATGAGCAGAAATGATGCCACTATAAAGTGCTGAAGAGCCACAGTGAGAGATTCACATGGGAGCTCCCTTTGGCCCCTGCTTCTGAGAACCCCCAAGCCCTTACCAGCTTCTGAAACAAGTCCACACCTGGATCCTTACCTTCTTCTGCAGCTCCCCTTGGCAGCGAGGTTTCTAACTGGGGTTTCAACTCCCTTCTCTTGCAGTTCTGCTGACATGTGCCATGGCCTGAGAGCGGCAGCCAAACGCAGACCTGAGCGCAGCCTCCACACGCCGGCTCCCACGGCAGTTGTGTTTTGTGTCCCAGTGAGTTTGCATTGTCACACGCTGAGAGCAGCAGCGGGGAGGCCTGAGCCTCGCAGAGAGCCACAGCCCTGGGCTGACAGGTTGGCAGGAGAGCTCACTAAACACACCCAGTCATTTCTTTCTCATCTAAGCGAGTACGGTCACTTTCTCTTCAAAACTAATATTAAACATTTTTGTCAGTTTCTGACTTTTATTTCAACTGTGTGTGATGCATTTTGTTTTTCCAGCATGGGAAGTTGACAGGCGGTCCATGTCCAGGTGGATGAGGACTGAATAATGCCTGGAGCAGCAGAAAGTGAGATGTGACTTGCAGGCACACCCTTGGTGTGTGAAGGCTGGTTTCTGTCACCTCATGGAATCTCAGCCACTGGGCCAAGGCCTCAGGCAGCTGGGTGGGCAGTACTGTTGACAGGACACAACTTTTGGGGCAGAGATCAGATGTTGCTTTCCATTTTGGCAGCATTCACTGGATTTTGCACTGATTCCTTGGCATCTTGAGCCTTTAAGTGCCAATAGCATTTTTTGCTGCAAAGATAAAGAATGTACTGCCCCAGGTCGTAACAGACTGAAAGCAGGGTGACACCAGCCACAGAAAATCCCACCCCAAACTGTTCAAAAGGAGTCCCAGGCACTTTCCTGTTTGTGCTCTGCTTGTAGCTTGACAGCTGAAAAACAGCCTGGAGTTTCAGAGGGGCTTGCTGGAGAGGCTCAGGAGGAGGGAAAATGCTGCAAATACAGGAAATTTTCCAGAAGCTTGGATCTGGACAAGGTAAGGGCTAGAGGGATGGGTGGGAGCTGTTAGCACTTAGCTGTAGAAGTGGAAGTTTGAAGCGAGCTCAAGGGGTCAGATAAGGAAAGGACCCTGTAGCAAAGCAAGCCCCAGGTGTCACATCTGCAGATGTGACCCTGTGAAGGAGATCTGCAGAACCATGTTCCTTCTGGGACCTAACTAAAACCTGGTGGGGAAATTGCATCTGAGCTCACAACAGCTTTCAACCAGACTTAAAATCTCTTTTCTCTCCTTTTCATAGCCTTTAACCGGGGTCATGCAGCATTTGGGGGACCCCAGCAAGGTCTGTGGGTCTGAGGCTGCCCAGGGGCAGTGCTGTGCCCTCCAGCTCTTGCGCTGACGGGCAGGGCAGGAGCATTTGCAGTCACATCTCTCATGGCATCGCTTCCCTCTTCCAGAGTGAAAAACAAGTATTTCCACTGGCTTCCCAGCATGCCAGACAGCAGACATTGAGCAGAGACCTCGGAGATGTTTGGAGAGGAGTAAGCAGCCACATGAAAGCAGCGGAAAACGTGCTCCCAGCCCCTTTGAGGGCTGTGCTGCTCCGGAGGCAGGGATCCCACCAGCATCCTTCGCTCAGGGCTTTCACTTTACAGGGTGCAGCCAAGTCTCCCAAGAAGGAAAATATTCAAAGACGCTGACAACTCCTTTAAGCCTCACGAGTCTTGTGGTGAATGGGATTATTCAAGCCAGGCTTGGGAGGGAGCAGTGTCCTCGCAGTGATGCTGAAAAAAAAGCTTCAGGATCTGAAACCCACGCTGACCACAGCACTGGCTCGTGCACTGGGAAAGGGAGCCAGCTCTTTACCAGTGCCTCTTGCCTTTCTTCTTGTGTTCCTGTGAGGAGTGGAGCTGAGCTTGTGTACAGCCTTCTGGCAACCATGAATTAGGTACCAAGAGTCCCAAGCAGGAGTTTGGAAAAAGTACATGTCATTTTACAGTGCCATTTTCTGGGATAACACTAAGGAGAGCCAGGGAGGGGAAGCACACTGGATAAGAGGTGTTTCAGAAGTAAAGATTTGCTTGTAATGTGTTTAAAAGGGATTGGCAGCAAGAGAAAAACTAGAGTGTCTCGTGGCAGTGGGGTCCTCCCTGTGCTGAGACCTCTGTGGTGTGTGGAGGGGCTCCGACCCCCTGCCATGTCTTGAACAGCTTCAGGGATGTTCAGCCTGCAACCCTCAGGCTGGGGCCACAACTGAGAGTATTTCCCTTACTCATAGAGTAAGCCCAGAACTAAAACTTCCCCTGTGCAGGGTGGAGATGCTGTAAAGGGGAAAACCTGCCAATAATAACAGTACTGACATTCCTAATAAACCATTGCTGGTCTCTCTCAAAAATACATTTTCTTGAACTGTATTTCCAGCTTGGCAAAGAAAACTAAATTTACTGACATGAATTTCCACACAGTCATGCCATGAGGAAGGAAGGAAACAAAAACAAACAAAAAAAAGCTGAAAGAATTGGTTTGTTTAAAAAAATATGTTCAATAAAAAGCACTTTTTTTCTTTTGGAAGGGCTGAAGAGAGGAGGGGAAGGGGTGGATAAATAAGAAACTGCTGCGGTGGATCAGGAAAAGCAAAGACTGGCAGCAAAACCCCTGTGTTGGCATTGTTTCAGTGTGAAGGGCAGGGACAGACATGTTTTAATCCTGGATACTGAGCCTTCAGTAAATCATTCCTTATGCTGTGCAAAAGCATGGGAATTCTGTATCCTCCCTGTGCCACTTCCCATCCTGTGTGGAGCCCAGGTCCCTGCTCAGTGAGGGACCAGCGCAGACCCCCGGGCTTCTCCTGGCTGGCAGGGCAGGTCTGGGCCAGCTGGGAGCTCTCATGCAGGTGTCCTGGTGCCTGTGGGTTCTCCAGGAGGGCAAACAACACCTGCACAGGTGTTTTCCCCCTTCTCTGAGGTCCATGAACCAAGGATGGAGGGTGCTCTGGGTTTGGGGTGACTGTGTGGTGTCCTGGGGCTGTAGCAGTGCTGATGGGGCTGGCAGGGGAGGCAGCTGTAACACACCCCCTGCCCAACACCCAAGCACATCCTCATGGTCCCTGCTGGCACCTCAGAGCTCTGCTCCCTCTGGGTCCATTGGGAATACAAACAGGCTCTAGCACCACCCCCCTGCCCTTTGGGCCACCTCAGACAGCTGGAGCGAGGTAAACCTGACAAGTTTTTATATGTACAGAGATGCTCATCAACCCCCCTCCCGCACCTCAAGTCCCTCAGTAAAAGCCAACCAAAAGAGCATTTAAAATAATAATAAAAAAAAAAACAAACCCAAACCAACAACAATCGACCTCCCCCCCACCTCAAAAAACCCCCAACCCAGTCCCCAACTGGGTCTCGGGTGGCAAACGGGGACGGGCCATGTCCCCAGGTGTGGTGGAGATGGGATAAAGTGACCTGTTCCAAACAGGGTGTGGGGGGAGCCAGGCCCCGGGCGCTGTCCCGTGCTCCCCCAGCTCGCTCTGGCCAGCGCTGGGGATGGGGCAGGGAATCAGTAGTATGAGCTGGCCCAGGCTGTGTCCTGGGGACAGTCCTGCAGTGTGGCCCAGACACCGGGGTGACAGTTCATAGGTAAAAAGCTAAAAACTTGGTGAGGTCTGGCAAGGAGGGTGGCAGAGGGGAGCAGGCACCAACCACCCCTGGCCACCATGTCCCCACTGGTGTCCCCACGGCTAGTGGGTGCCCTTAGGACTCCGAGGAGGAGTGGGAGACGGTCTGGAGCAGCGATTTGTAAATGGCAGAGTTCAGGAAGCGGGGATAGGAGTCTCTGTGCATCAGCGTGTAGATCTGGAGCTGTGCGTCGTCGAAGGTGTGCGAGGATGGCTCCTGCATCTTCCGGTTGATGACCTCCCGCACCCGCGAGTCCAGGCTCACCTGGGGGGCACGGAGAGAAAGTGGGGGCTGGGGGGCACCCAAAGACAAGCCCCCGGCCCAGCACCGCTCTCTACACCCCCTCTCACGGGAAACTGGGTAACAATGCGGCACCATATGAGGTGTGCTCCATCACAGAAGATACCAGCACTGAGGCCCTGGTGGTTGGGGAGGGTCTCAGGGAGGAGTGGGGATCTTTCTGGGTCCCCTCTGTGTTCCCCAGCTGGGCACAGGGAGGTGGGTTGTGGTGGTCCTGCCCTGGGTACCCCCACTCCGAGGATGCTGCAGGCCGGGATGCAGCATTTTCTCGGCCCGCTGGTGCCCTCGTGAGGTCTCGGCCCCGCAGCACAAGCTGGCCTGTGGTCCCACTGCCAGCAGCATCCCGGCGTTTTTGGGGGGCTGGAAATCCCCTTCCCACAGCTGTTACCCTGCCAAACTCATCCTTAAACTGTCACAGGGCTGTGGCGGCAGCTGGAACTGAGCCCTCTCCCTAAGAGCCCTCCCCTCAAAGGCCCTGCCTCCTACCTCCTTGGGAGACAGGATGGAGATGTAATCCTCGTAGATCATCCTGGCCTTCTCGTCGATGGTGTGCTTGTTGCACTCGGTTTTGAGCTCCTCACATGCCAGCCAGAAGAGCATGTTCTCCTCGCTGTACTCAGTCCGCAAAAACTCCCGGAAGACGTTGCGCCCCGCCGGGCTCTTCATCAGCTTGTCAAAGGACTGTGCCCAGCCCTGCACCTCCTCTGGCGTGGGTTTGGCACTGACAGATCCATGGGAAGGCAAGGGGAAGGTGTTAAAGCCAGCCAGGGATCCCACTGTGTCCCTCCTGCTCATCCCTGGTCCTATCCCACAGGAACTGTGCCCAACCACATCCCCCGTGCTCATGACGATGGATTTCCCAAACTGGGATGTATTTTGGTCCTGGTTCTGCACAAATCCCAACAGGAGGGAAAAGCCCTTTGGTGGAGAGGCAGCTCTGAGCCAAGAGAGACTCACATGGGTCCATCACCCTTCCCAGCTGGGGAGGGAGAGAAGGGGGTGGAGAAGGAGGGAGGGAGACATTTGTTTCCCAGAAAATGCTCAGCACTTGCTCAAGCAGGCCAGGTACACTCATTATCCATGGCTAATTAGCACATCTAACCCTAACCCAGCTGTGCCAAGCACTGCACAGAGCCCCCATGGCTGGGTGTCACACTTGTCACTCAGGGAATGGGTGCTTGGTGCCAAGCATTCCTCGAGTGGGGTGCTGCCCCATCCTGCTCCTCCCTGAGTGGACATGGACACTGCTGCTGCTTCCACTTCAGTGCTGAAACCCCCTGGGAATGCCCTGTCCTCTCCTCTCCCTGTGGCTGCAAGGTGCTCTTGGCAGTGGGTCTAAATGGCAGAATGAGATCTGAAATCTACTGAGGTTCTTCCATGCCTCAGTTTCCCTTTGCAATGGGCCCAAGGGCAGAACCACAGTAGGATTCAGCCTGTGGCTCCAGGCTCCCTATTTCTTGGTGAGAACTGGGGATGAGCTGCTGGACACATCACCAGGAACCCCTGAGCCCTGGTGTCCTGATCCTCTGCCTGCTGTGTACCCCAAGGGCAGAACACAGTCCTGGCAGAGGGGACAGTGCCATGCTGTGCTTGTCCCCCACACTGCACTGCCCCTGCACTCACCACGCTTCACAGTTTGGGATGGTCTCCAGTTTGGTCTCCCGGGATGCCCTCCATGCTCGCTCTCGGTCCTCGTTCCTAACGGGGAGACAGAAAGGTAGTCAGGGGCATTGGGGACACATGCTGACCTCGCTTTGACCACTGAATCTCATCCATGGGCACCAGCACCACCCATCCATGGGCACCAGCACCACCCATCCATGCCCTCCTCTCACCCACTGGCCCGGTGGCACCCTGGTTTGCTCATGGAGTTTTGCTGTCACCATGTGAGGGTGTCCCTGTGATGTCCCTGTGCTCAGGCACTGCTGTGGCCCCGATCCTGCTCCACCACCCAGGCTGTGTGCCAGGGCCATGTGCCAGGACTGAGCTGAGCTGGAGTGGCCACAGCAGCCGGCAGAGGTCAGTGCTGGATCGGCCCAAGGCGAAGCCGTTGTGAACAATTGTGAGCTGTTGTGTCATGAATAATCACCAATAAATAAACAAGTGTTTATTGGTGATGTGCCAGCACTGGTCCAGCCCAGAGGCAGATAGGGGAACAGTGGTGTTGGGGCTTGGGGATGTGGTGTTCCCTGTCCCTGTGTCCCCTTGTCCCTGGGGGTGCTGGTGGCACAAGTGGAGAGCAGCCATCAGCCAACTTCCCCTGGGCCCTTGAATTTCGGTGCCCAGCACTGACCGCAGCCCTTCCTGCTTGCAACACTGTCCCTCACTGCTCTCACAGGACTGGCTGTGCAAACCTCTGCCCCAGCATGGTTTCCCATGTTCCTGATTCAGGAACAGGACACAGAAGGGTTATCTGTCCCATCTCTGGGATTTCTGCTCCATCTCTGCTTGCAGGTTCTTGCAGAGATGAAGGAGAGACACAGAGAGGAGGGAGATGCACAGGGCTCAGCTCCAGGGATTTTTGCTCCTCCAAGCTTCCTGCTCCTGGTGGCTGTAAAGACCAAAGCTGCTGCAAAGCTGGAGCCATCAGCAATCTCTGAATGAGCAGATGCTGAGGGGGAAGAGCAGATGGGCTCTCCAAAATCTGGGCTATCCAGAGAATAAGGAGCTGGAGAGCCTGAAGGACAGGAGATGCAGATGGAGGCAAGCAGCTGGTTCCATCCTTGGCTTTGGGCAGGGCTGGACTGTGTGTCTGCTGCTCCAAGGCAGAGCTTCCCAGAGGGCTCATATGGGCTGGGGCCATCCTTCCCTGGAGATCATCAGGGCAGCACTGGGGAGTCCCTCTGCTACTTTCTGCTCTACATATTCTAAGAGATTTGGCTCACCAACAGGAGTTACAATGCAACCAGGACTCTGTGACCTATGGCATGACGAGGTGGGTGGGTGATGCTCGCTGACCCTGCAGGAGCCAGGGCCAGGCGGGCAGTGGGACGTACCATGAGCAGCTGCAGCAGCAGCACCAGCAGAAGCAGCAGGCGTTGGGGCGGTGGTTGCTGGCGGGTTGCACCGTTGTGGGAGAAGTCTCATGCCGGGACATCGGAAGGAGTGACTCTGTGGACGCGGGTCCTGCGTACTGAAAGGCAGGAGGGTGGAGAGGGTCAGGGAGCTGCCAGTGATCATCCCCCACCCTGTGCAAGCACACAGAGATAGAGGAGCAATCCCCGTGCAGCAGCTTGCTGTGATTTACTTTTGGCTCCTGCTTGCCACCCTGGCCGGTCACCCCTCACCTGCGTCTCAGCCTCATACACGGTGGACGGGGCTGGGTTGTGCTTCAGGGGCTGTTCTGCTGCTCTCAGCTCCTCCCAGCCCGTGGGTGAGCTGTGAGACCCCCCAGCTAATGTCCCTGCCGCCTCCTGGATGGAGCCTGTGGGGAGGGAGAGGAGTGGCACCGTGTTACTGCACAGAACCCCCGGCTTCGAGCAGCTCTGGGGGCTTCTTAGTGCTGGGAAAGCCCTGGGCAGGTGGCAAGCAAGGGAAGGGCAGCAGGCAGTGTAAGAAAAGGAAGTGAGAAGGAAAGTAGAAGAGGAAATGCACTGGGACATGCTCTACCAGCTCCCTGCTTTGCCTGGGATCCCATCCCACACTTTGGGGATGCTGTGGGGCTCACTGCAGGCAGCAGAGCAGCTTGGCAGGGTGGGGGCTCAGTGCTGGCCCTGCACAGCCCTGGCCATGCCCTGTGCCATGAGGAAGAGTGGCTGAAATCCCTGGTGTGTTCAGGCACGGAATGGGGAAGTCAGAGCTGCTCCACGGCATCATGTGAGTGGACGGAAACAGGGTGGTGGTGGTGCTAAGTTTTCACAGCTCCTGGCACTAAACCAAACCTTGTTCCATGCCACCTGTCTGTCCCTGCCTGCACCACTGGCTCAGCCTGGAGCAGGGATGCTCCTGGGCAGGAAAGATGCTGGGTGCTGTGGTTATGTCAGGCCACAGCTGGCTCTATCTCCCTGTGCTTTGCCAAGGGTGACGGGCAGCAATCAGGGTGCTTCCCCGGCCAGAAAGGAGGAATGGGAGCAGAGGCAGCAGGCAGGGAGAGCCTCAGCATCCCCACCTTGAACAGCCCCAGGTCTCATTGTCTTGGGTCTGAGTCTTGCTGTGGACTCAGCAAGGGGACAGAGGAAGGGTGTGGGATGCAGCTGGGGACACAGCTGTCCCCAGAGCCCTCCACGAGCCCTGGGGGTAGAGCCCCCCTGTTGCCAGCACAGCCATCACCCAGCAGTGCTTTCCTAGGCCCTCACAAACCCTCCCACAGTCCCAGTGCTCCCACAGGAACGAAAAAGGAGAGAGTCTGTGTTTCACTCCCAATTGTCCCTATTTATAGCCCCAAGTGCTGGCACGATGGCTGTGACCTTGCCACCCAGTTCAGCAGAAGCTCTGCTCCCTCTCACACCGTGCTGCCTTCAGGTCCACTTAACCCCACACTTTTTCCCCTTTTGCTTCCCTTGGCCCAACCATCTTCCACTCCCAGCACCCTTTTTCCCACTGCCCACCCACATCCCACTGCTCATCCCACGGCACCCAGCACTGCCAGGGCTGCGGCACCAACAACAGGAACCGGGGTGGAGGCTGTGGGAACAGGTGAGCAGGAGGACAACCTGAAGACTGGGAAAACCCTGCTCCCCCCCAGCTCAGCCTGGCTCTGCCACAACCCTGAGCTGTGGAATGGTTGGACTGGGGGTGACTGTGGGACCGGGATGTGGGGACAGCGTGTGGCTTTGCTCTGTGGGGACCCCCAGGTACTTGGCTGGAGCTGACGTGCAAGTGGCTGAGCCAACACCAGAGAGGCAGCAGGAGGGGGTGGCATCCCCTGGCAGGAGCATCCCCTTCCCATGCCAAGGGGAGCACTCAGCACCCGGCCAGGAGCAGCATCAGGTCTCTGCCACCCTGGGTGCTGTGGGACACACCCAGGGCCATTCTGGAGGACTGTGCTGTGCCATGGGGAGCAGGGACAAAGGAACTGTGGGCCTGCACAGGGGCCACAGGGACCCTGTCTGACAGCACCAAGGGGTGATGCTGGTGTGATCCTGATCCTTGCTGGCACCAAAAGGTGATGCCAGCACACTCTGATGGGCACTGAAGGGCACTGCCACCATGGTCTGGATTTGCAGGGACGATTTCTCAGCACCCCTTAATATCTCTGCCACCTCTCCACGCTGGCAGGGGCTGGGTGCTGTGGGGCTGTCACCAACTGCCCCAGTGCCAGGCCCCACCATGGGGCTGCTGGGGCTGGCGGATAGGGAAGTGCCGGAGGGAAGGCGAGGGCGTGCGCTCGAGGCTGCAGAAAGAGGAAGGATGACAAAAAAGGGACATTTCCCCACAGAGAGGAGACACCCCAAAAACCACCCTCCCTGAGCTCCCCAAGCCCCCTGTGACTCTGGGAGTCCCCATGTGCTGGGTGTCCCAGGGCTGTGCCAGGTGGCATCACACACTGGTGATGTCCCCATGATGTGTGGCACCACACTATCCTCTTGCCAAACTGAGTGGGGACCCTCCATGAGCTCTCCCCAAAATCACTTTCAAAGGGGAACCTCCCCTTCTACCAGGCCCTGCTGAGATGTTGGCCCCATCCCACACGCCTGCACATGAGGCTCCTTGTGTCCTGCTCACCCTGGGCAAAGCAGCCTCCCCCAGTTCTGCAGCACGGGGCACAACTCAGCACCCACCTCAGTCCAGGGGCACTGCCAGCACCACCTGCTGTCCCCCGATGTGCCCACCGACCCTGAGCCGGGGGTGCTGGGAGGACTGGGGGGTGTGGGAGCAGCTCTTGTGGTGTGTCCGTACCTGCAGCCTGGCCATCGTGCCAGCCAGGGTGGCCCCGGCCGGCTCAGGGGGTGCGTGGCATCGCCAGGACCGCCGGGTCCGCGGGCAGGGAGGTGGGGGAGAAAAGAAGAGAGAAAGAGAAAAGAGGCCTAACACATCCTCTCACAGGAAAGGGAGTGGTAAGGGAAGTGGCAAACTCAACTGAAGAGTTCAGGCCTTTTTTGGGAAAGCCCCAGCCCGGCCCAGACGCTCTCCTTGCTGCTCCATCATGGGGCCAGCTGCCCCATCGAGGGGCACAGTGGGTCCCACCAGGGGCTGAGCCAGCTCAGCTTCCTGACTCCTCTCCTGCCAGGAGGGCTGGCTCCAGCAGCAGCTGCAAGCACGAGGGCTACCAAGATGGGGCTCCCCAGCTGGGACCAGCACTGATGGCAGCAGCTTCTCAGAAATAGCCCGGGCACGCCGGTGCTGGAACAAGCCCACGGCCAAGGAAGTGGCTGTGCCCAGGGTGACAGGCAGGATGTGTCCCCAGGGTGCGCGCAGGCTGCACCGAGCCCCTCGGTGAGCAGCCCAGGCCACTTCAAAGCGCAGTGCTTTCCCGATGTCCCCGGGCTCCCCGCAGGGCACAGACAGCGGCAGCGAGGTGGGCAGTGCGGGAAGGGGCTGTGCCGAGGCTGGGCTGAGTCAGCCAGCACGGTCCGTGCGAGGTGGGATGTGCCAGCCTGATGCACCGAGCGCAGCCCCGCTCCCTCGGCCAACAGTGACTCACAAAGTTGTTTGGTTTTTTTTCCTCTTCAGGAAAAAAAGAAACAGAAGAGAGAGAGAGAGAGAAAAATCAGCCGCCAACCTCCGTTTTCTTGATTAAATTCACCCTCGGCACTGCTGTGGGCGGAGGAGGCTCCAGCCACCAACACCGCTTGTGGTCTCTGCTGGCGGCTGCCCCTCACAGGCACGGTCCCACCGCAGGTGAAAGAGGGCAGCAAGGGGAGAAAGAGAGAGGGATGCTGGCACCCACCCCCGCTCCCTGGGGCAGTGCCATGTGCCTGTTATCAGCTCATGCCAGCGCCCGGCTTCCCTCGCCTTCCCCGGGACTCGAGCTGTTATCTCCTCTCCTCCCGAGCCCGCTCGCCCGGCACCCCAAACCCGACGCGGTTGTGCTGCTGCTGTCCCCAGAGCCACTCCATCCCGGGGGGAACCTTCCCATCACCCGAAAGTCACCACCGGAAGGTTTTCCAGGACTCCCTTTGGTGCTACAAGGCAGGGAGGGAGCTGGGGCTGCAGGATACAGCCACGCTCCCACGGCCTCTGGCACCCCCAGCTCACAGGCACCGAGTGTATTTTTATTTTCTGACCACCTCTTGCCACTCTCCACCCCAGGAGGGACCTTCCTTTTGTATTTTATGAGCCAGAACCGGGACAGCAGCTTTGCTGCTCGTCACAGAACCCTGCAGGGATCATTTGGGTGGGAACAATGAACAAACCCTCAGTGGCAACGCAGACACCATCCCTGGCCAAGTTGCTGCCATAGCCCAGTGATGCCTCAGCCAGGAGCAGCACCGGATCTGACCCCTCTCCATGCCTTGGAGGAGCTGCAAACACCCATCACCGGCTGGACCAGCCACGCTGGATCGGCACAAGGAGAGCCTGGCAGCCCAGGCTGCCCGCGTGGTGCTGGATTCTCCGGTGTCTAATAAGGGCTCAGCACAGCCTGCAGCTTCCCCACCCCCTCCCTGGCATTCTCCCAGGAGGTCCCAGCACCTCTGATCTCTGCCAAATTTGGCTGGAACCAGCCACTGAGTGCAAGCAGAGGCGAGGCAGCCCAGCAGGCAGCTGGGGTGGGTGACAGGGGGCTGGCACCCCCCGGGACCCCTCTGCCGGGGTTACCCCATGGGAACAGCCGAGGCACCGCCGCCGAGCCCCACAGCTGCCTCCCGCCCCCGCAGCCTGTCCCAGCCACCTGCCAGCAGCACAGGAAGTTTTAGGAGTTATTTTTAGACTCGGTTTTCAATCCCCCCCTCCTTAGCAATCTTTTAGAAAAAGATTAAAGAGGTTGAGGGCTTGAGCCCCCCGGCTCTGCAGGATGGGGCTGGGCTGACCCCAATCCTACCACAGAGGTGCCAGTGATGCCTGGCAGTGGCTGGGTGGGCTCTCCGGGTCCTGCCGGGGTGAGGGTGTGGTTGTGCCCATGTGGCTGCACCCTGCCGTGTCCCCGCTGCCCTGCGAGCCCGTGGCACTGATAACGCCGCAGATGTGCCCGCACATCTGGCTGAGGAGGCAGCGGCCAGCGGGTACCTTTGGGCAGATCCTCTGCCCTGCAGTGATTTCTCTGCCGTTCCCAGAGGCTGGAAAGGCAAATCCTGCTGATAGGAACTGTGAGATGCTTCAGTGTGTCTGTCCAAACACCTCCCCAAGCCTTTACCACAACAGCCCCTCTCCTGTCAGGATAAGGACAATGCCAGGGTCCTGCTCCCGACCAGCCATCTCCTCTGCTCCCAGTGTACTTCTGCTTGAGCATTCTTCAAGCTAAACCCCACCAAAAACCCTCCAAAAAGGACCACATGAACCTCTCCAGCACCTGCTGGGAAGAGGAGAACAGACCCATGGCTCTGTCCTGTCACCATGGCTGCTGGGCAGCACGACAGGCACTGCTGCCAGCACCCACACTCCTGACCCAGCTCGTGCACTGAAACAGAGTTCATTATTTTATAACATAAAAATAGCCCCATGCCATTCAGCTGGGGGATTTAGTACAGCAAGCCCTGACAATTATGTTTCTACTACTGGAGGTATCGTGGTGTCAGGGCAGGCGCCTGCTCTGCCTTTGGTAATGATCCACAGGAAAGGAGAAGACAGATCAGTGATCAATACTCAGCAGGGGCTAAACGGATGGAGGAGCCTGGTGGTTGATGGGAAGGGAAGATCAGAGGAAAGATATGGCACTGGCATGGCCAGGGTAAGTGCTGAGCTGGTGGTGACAGGGTGCTCCTTGCTCATAGCAAGCTGCCAGGCCCCTGGGACCACAGGACAGTGGTAATTTGAGGGATGAAGAATGGCATCTTTCAAGGAAATGAGGAACCAAACAGGGCAGGACTGGGATGGCTGGGTCAATGGGCTGGTTTAGCACAGCTCTGAGGGATGATTTTTCCCCCAGCCCCAGCACAAGACCAAGCATGGGAGGCACCAGGAGGTGCACCAGGAGGTTTGGGAGGCTGTGCTGGCACGGGCAGGAGGTGAGTCTGACCATGCTGAGGACAGGTCTGGCCCTGCTCTCCAGCCACACTTCCTGCCCAAAGCATGGCCCCATGTGGCATTGATGTGGTCAGGGCAGGGCTGAGCCTGGCTCAACCAGCAGTGGGACCAGCCAGGCCAGGGCCACACCAGCAGGACAGCTGGGGACAAGGGGAGCACGTCCCAAAGGCTGCACCCAGGGGCATTTGCCCACCATGGTTTATTCAGCTGTGGGTGATGCTGCCTGCACACTGCCAGCCCTCACATATGCTTTTGGAGGCATCTGGCTTCAGGCAGATGTCACTTTGTGCTGGTGGGGACATGTACCAGGGTTGGGACATATCCCCAGCATCAGGTCCCTGGATGACAGCTTTCAGAGCTGTCACCTGTACCAGCAAAACTTCCTCCCACATCAGACTTTGGTCCTGCATTAAAACACGGAGGGACTGAGGAATGAGCCCCCCAGGAGACCATCCTGCAGGCAAACACCCAGGGAAAGGGAGATCTGGTGACCCAATGCCCTGCCCAAGTTCTGGAGAATCCCAAGGGTCACAGGTGACCCCTGTGGTGTGGTCATGGTGCCAGGGCAGCAGTGAGGCTCTGCTCAGATCAGAAGGGATCAGGGTGAGCAATTTGTGTGCTCTGAATCCAGTTGCCCTGGTGATTTAAGGGGAAGATTGATGGTGGGGTTCGGCTCCATCACCCCAGGGAGGAGCTGGCAGTGTGGGGAGGAAGGAAGCACTGTCACCCTGTGTGGCCCCATGCCACAGAGATGGTCCTGGGGCAGTGTCTGGCAGTGCAGCTGCTGCATCCCACTGCTGCCAGACAGGGCAGGCACGGCTGGGTGCAGGACCCTGGCCATGGTGGGTGCCCATCTGGGGATCACATTCTGGGCCCAGACCCAGTGGGAGAGGGCCTTGCAGGGGACCTCAGTGAGACCCCTGATTTGACAGGCCATAGTGATGCCCTTTGCTGAGTCCCCAGGATGCTGCAGGGTGCAGGTCCCATCAGAGGACACGAGCTGCGCTCATGGCAATACATTTCTGCAGCCCCAAATTTGCTTTTCCAACTCTCTCCTTCTGGTGAAACCCTCACCAGTGTCTCAGGCAGCACCTTCTCCTGGTTTTTGTTATTTTATTTCCAGTCTAGCTTGAAGCTTTCTGTTGCTTTTTTAGAGCTCCTGCCCACTAATGCCAATATGTACCTGTTTGTTCTTCTCCTGCCCTTTGCCCTGGAACGCTGCTTGGGCATTCGCCTTCTGTCGAGGAAGCT